AATGAAAAACAAACAAACAATGTTTCAGTGATTCAATCAGCTGCTGAATTTCCCTTACAGTCAATGAAATTAAATATAATAATAATTACCCTGTTAAATTTTAACTGTTTGCAGTAATGACAGACCTCAATATTACAAGTGAACAAACAGAAATCACTACTCAAAGTCTACTTATCCAGATACAATGTTTCATTTTTTTTTGGCACCTTTAAAAAAACTAGTCATTTTTTTCATGATACCTGACATGTTTTGGTATGAGACAGTACACTGTTTTTTTTTTCAGAATCAATAATGGATGAAAGCTGGGGAAAATAAACAAAGCGAAGATGTAACAGACTGTAAACACAAGGCCAGTAAAATATTTTGATTATTATATTTTAGATGTTATAAAATAACTGAATTTTACACAAAGCTGTCCAGATTCAGAGATGAAATAGGCCAAATAAGAAACATTCCATTACACAATGAAGAAGAATTACTATCATGCACCCAAAAAACCAGATTAACATTTTCAAAAAGATGAAAATAAAGAAAAGTAATGATATTACAGATAAAAATAAAATAAAAGCAGAATAAAAATCGAATTAAAACAAACATCAAAGCCAAGAAGCAACTGGTACTAACAATGTGAAAAAAAAACCAAAAAAAACATGCCAAAGTAAGGAATTGCCTCATATTGCAAAACACAACTAGGAAAGAAACCTGATACTTCAAAAACAACAAATACTAGAAAACATTTGGAAAAAAAAATTATTTAAACACGACTTCTGTACAAGTCTTATTGTTGCATGAAACAAAATATATCCTGTGGTGATTTTCTCAGTCAGCTAAGCTGGGCTTCATTCATTTGTTATGGACTGTAATAATCCACAACAGAACACAAAGTTCAATGATATCTAATGTATCAAAAACTGAAGATTAGTATTATGAAACATCAGTGTCCTGGGAAACGGACTACACTACACAGAGGACCAACACCCTGATACAATCAGTGTTTTACATTTTCTTGCCACTGTCACAACTGTTTAAGGTTTCATATTTATAGTTTTTAGACATACACGTAAAAAAAAGTATTTTTGTTTTTTACTCTTGTTGATTACAAAACCCCTTAAAATTAGACAATTAACTACCATACATACAAAGGAAGTAGAAAACACCAGTGAACAATCATTCAAACAGACCACATATTACTGTATTTCCATAAGCATAAAAATGATCCCACATATATGACAGACCTTGATTTTATGACAAGAAATTCTGAAAAAAAAAAAAAAAAATAATATGATTATATAAAGTTACTGAACTAATGTTTTATTTATAGAACTCATCACTGTCAATACTCTAATCCACGTTTTAGTTCTTTAGCATATCCACGTTTGAGGATAAATCGCTGTCTTCTTATATTGCCTCATCCTACATCCCATCTGTGGCACTTGAAATGATTTACCTCTTGAGTGACTTGACAACAATCTCAATCTTCAGATTATCCCTACATTTTTTTTAACTCAGGTACAAACTTTTATAGCTGTTTTCTTCACACCACCTGCTGATATCAGATTTTTCCCAGAAGACATCTACTGCTTCCATTCATCTCTCATGGCAACTCTGAAAGGTCCAAGAATGTTGACACCAAGTTGTTGAATCTGGGACCTCAAGCCTACAGGTATGATGACAAAGTTTGATTTTTTATTCTCTGCAGCAATCTTCTGTTTATTTTAAAACTGTTTCCCCATTTGATGTCACCCCTGAACTGGCATTCCCAAATGAAGCCCTGTATGGAATATTTTCTAACAAATCACTTGATAAAAATCTAATACCACTGTAAAAGATGCAGACTGTTTGTCAGATCCTATATTTTGGGAAAACAGTGCACCTTAACTCGAGGAAAAATGGTAATTAAATACACTAAGATAACAAAGGTCATTTTTTCTGGTAATACAGATGAAACTTTATAAACTCTTTCAGCACCAGGCATATTTGTTGGGAGTCTAATCTCTCACAGATAGTTTTTTTTCTTAAAGTAATCATTATTTGGGTCAGAATTACTTTTAAAAAAAAAGTGGGCTGATAGAGAAGGAAACTATAGAAATGAAACGCTTACAATGAATCCTAAACAAATGTAACTAGAAGATACAGCATTACGAATGACAATATCAGGAAAGAAGCTAGGACGAAACCAGTACTAAACTTCATGATGACAACAGATCAAATGGTTCAGACATATGTCAAGACTGCAACCAAATAGTACACCACAGAAGGCCTTGTCACTTAGACATAATGGAAGCAGAGCTACAGGTCAACCATGCAATCAATGGATAGTTGGAATATCCAATGTTGTTAACGCCAGCATCTATGTAGCACATACCAAGGCTCGTACCCAATGCCTCTTAACGCCCTGAAGCTCGAAAAGGTAGCAATAGGACTAGAAAAGAAGAGGAGAGAACAGTCAAAGCAACATCTGAAGCAGTGTGGGTGAATCTAACAACTGGACATGGCATGAGGAATGAAGGAACAAGTTTCATGTGAGGGAAAACTCAAACAGCACACAGTTAGCTGCCTGGTACTGAATGAGTTAATCATGAACTAATCTTGATATTAAAAACAAAAACTGCAATGTAATGAGAGAAAAACAACAAAGTGGTCACAAATAACACACCAATGATAGATTAGCAATAAAACCCCCAAAACGACTTTGATGTGATAAGCTGAACACTATTTCTTATTAATAAATAATAATAATAAAAAAAAAAAAAAAAAAACTAAGCAAAACTATTACTTGCGACAGAAAGATAACCTGAGATTTTTAAGTGAAAATCAGTTCCGTTTCTTCAGCAGACAAAAAAAAAAAAAAAAAGATGACTGAAATACAAAATGTCAGATTTTAACAATATAAAAGCATGCCTATATGGTAACAGGACAGAACAGCACAAGGAACAACTGACATCAAGCTGTATATTCATTTTCCATCCCCATTTGTTTTATTCTGGTTTCAATGGTTTAAAAAAATATATGTAAAAAAATAAACCACTGCTAGCACACTACAAGTTGGGCGTTCTTGGTGGATATATGCAGGTAGTTGACAAATATTTGAAGAGTGAATAGAACTGTATTTTATTTCATTCAAAACAATGTTTTCACATTGTAAATTTAAATAACGCAGTCACAAACAAAACACTGCACAAGTGATTGCCTGGCATATTTCACTGTATCTTGTCAGGTGCGTTACCTCAGAGTTGAATCAACACATAATGCTGCATTTTGGTGAAAACAGATTTGAACTTTTATGCTTCATTATATGTTGATTAAACTCTGTGATAAAGCGTGTGGTGAGATACAGTAAAATATGCAGGCAATAAATATGTCCGCTTTGTATGTGCAGATATAAGTGACTCCTTGTGTATGAAAGTACATGAGGTGGGAGAGCTGACCAGAGACAATAGTTTCTTTACAAAAGACTGATGAGAAGAGTTTCTCCAAAGGACCTGCTTCATGATAAAGATGTCCCTTTGCGTAATCATTATTTAAACCTGATTTACCTTTCATTACAAGAAAGGTACAAGCAGGCTGCTGAAGATACTAGTGCACGGGTTCCCACTTAGCTAAGACCGGTGGACACCTCTTGTATTTAGATGGTCAGTCATGAGCCCCATATTTCCAAAAAAAAATATATATATATATATGTCACAGAAATTACAATCACCATGGCACTTCTCGTAACTTGTCAATATTACTGTTAAGGATGTCAAGAGTGTTAAATACATGACACCATGATGCAAATCAACAGTGACATCATAATGACAGTTTAATGATAGCCACCCATTTCCCCCATGAACCAAATAGGAGACCAAAGCATGGTTTTGTAGTTAGTATTACATTTTATAGAACTGCATGAAAGAAAAAATAGATTGCACTCTAAAGCTGATGTTTTATTTGTGTAAATAATGCCACCCACCACTTAAATTTGCTTGGTAGACCGCCACATGGGAAAGACGGCCCTAATATGTCACCTGCATGTAAACTCTAAAGTTATGCCAAATGATGATCTTCTATGCCAGTGGTTTTATTCCTTTATGTGCCTCCATAATTATGCAACCATTGTTATAAGCGAGGTGGTTATGATGGTTTTAATAGTTGTCCACTTTATAATAAATTGTCATTCTGAAATAATGCCCTGTCTACCCACTGGAAGTATGAGAGTAGTATGAAAGTTGCCTTTAGGTCTTTGCCTGTTTTTAAGCTACCTGGAGAGTTTAGAAGTTCTCCCTCTCTTGTGTCAGGAAATTACTAAAGATTTACTTACATTTTCTGCATGTAAAATTGCAGCTTTGGGGAACATTCACTAAATGAACCATGATCTATTTATCCTATGAAGACAAACAGGGAATAATGAATGCCGCCCTTAATAGGAGCAAACTACTTCACTTGTCTGTGCCGATAACTTGCTGGTGTATCTTGTTCAAGTTTTGCATATTTTAGCAAACTCTTCAGTGAGTACAAAAGCGTATTCTCACTTGAATATACATAAATATATAATCAACAAATAGAAAAATAAATCAACAATCATTACAAAAATAAAGTCATCTCAGGTTCCCAACAAGCGTCACTTTTGATCACAAACCACCATTCTGTTCAGTCAGCCCACAGTTGAGTAGGTTGAATCCTATAATAGACACAGCCTTACATGTCAAAATCTGAATTATGAATTTTTCTTTGGATGAAAAGAGAGAAAACAAAAACAACAGATGGGCAAGGAAGTCACAAGTTTGTAGCACAGTCTGAATATATTAAGTAGTCAAAAAAACCATCAACAATTGTGGCTTGGGCAAAGCCAGTCTTAGCATAGTAAGAAAATGACAGCAGGAATTTTAAAAATAATAAATACTAGTTAATTCTGGTACTAAGATTTCAACAACCAGGTTCAATCCATTTCTGACAGGTCAAATTAGAAAAACTAGAGGGAGAGTGGAAGTTCGGTTCCTCGTCGCCCAAGCCTTGTAGCCTTATACAGGTTGCTGTGGTGCTCCGGGTCTGGTGCGACGTGGAGCAGGCTGAGCACGAGAGAATGTGTCCATAAGGGAGCGCACACGGCGCTGAGCAGACTGAGTGGCGTAAAAATGACCAATGATGGTGACGGGAACTTCATCGACATCACCCTGCTCTTCCATTGGCAGTTGTACTATGGCACCACTAACACGCTGCATTTCTTTTACCTGTTAACAGAGGAAAAGAATCAACATTATATGGAATACAGATATTAAGAAGGAGAAATATCAATAACACATCAAATATAGCTGCTGACAAGGAAAAACCCAGTAATACACCAAGCATGGCTAAAGCAAGTTACTAACATATTCTGACTAGGTAATCTGAATGTAAGAAAAGGACCCTTTTAAGCTATTGGGGTATTGGGTATCCAATGCTGGACTTTTATTTACTGGTCAGTACTATCACATGATAATGACATAATCATGTTCAACTCATTAAAGTATGTGTGATGCATCAGGAATGAGTTTCAAATGAATGCTCCTAAAGGACACATACTTATTAAATCCCGTAAGAGAAAGATTGTTATATGTGAAATATAATGATTAAGAAAAGCTGATCACGTCACCAAGGTTGACAGAAAAGAAACAATACATCTAAAGAACTGCCACTATTGGCCAGCACTGTAAAATGTAAGGCATGAGGAAGACATTGATATACATGAAAATGGGTTGAAAATCATAGCTTTTCTACAGCAGTAATAGATCTTGACAGTCAGAACAACACCCCCTGGGACAAACTGCACAATGAAATTCACCACAATAACTGACACATACAAGGATGACAACAATTGGCCAAGCAGCTATTTATAAAAGCGCTATGAATGTACCACTGCCTTTGTAAACTCCATAATGACCTATGCTAGCTGATTCCTAATTAGCTATGACCTGCGAACCCCTCTTATTTTTAAAGGTCTGATCGGGACCCCTACTTTTAAAATCATACCGAAAGAACTAATTACAATTTACAAATAGTAGGATCACACAAAAAAGATTCTAGTTAAGTTTTTAAAAAAAAAGATTTTATAGGTCACTTAAATTTGTTCCACTGACCACCACACGAAACGGAAAAAGGCTGGCTATGCAGTCAGACTAAAAACAATAAAATATGGCTACATTTCGAGAATTTTTCACAAAGACAGGTAAGGTAAGGCCAGTTCCATGTGGGTTTAAAGTCAGTCGCCAGACTGGAACTAGCAAAAAACATTTGTGAATAGAGTGATAAAAACATAATTGCCAAACAGGCACTGAAATTGGAAACTGGGGGACTGAGAAACAAGGATGTCCAAGACAAACCCTAAAGTGAACGTAGCCAAAAGTGCTGGACTAGATTCTATCCATGATATCGAAGTGGTGCAATGGTGTTGCCAACGGGTCCATTCATTCATAACACTTAGCTCTGGTATGGCCAGGTATGTAGATCCAGGTGAGAGAGATTAAGTGCAACATCCTTATGCTGTTTTCCCATTCATAGCAATGCAGTGGTGCAATTCCTGCCAACGGGTCCATTCATTGATTACCTCTTGCTCAAGTATGGTCAGGTATGTAGATCCAGTGCAACATCCTTATGCTGTTTTCCCAAACACAGAAATGCAGTGGTGCAATACCTGCCAAATGGTCCATTAATTGATTACCCTATTGCATGGCCAGGTTTGTAGATAAGGTGAGAGAGATTAAGTGCAACATCTGTATGTTGTTTTCTTATTCATAGCAATGCAGTAGTGCAATTCCTGCCAACTGATCCATTCATTGAATACCCCTTGCAACAGTATGGCCAGTTAGGTAGATTCAGGTGAGAGAGATTAAGTGCAACATCCTTATGATGTTTTCCCATACATAGCAAAGGCTGCCTTTGGAAATTTTCTGAAACATGTTCAAACATGATTGGTTCCTGCGATCCAATTTGTACACTTTCATTTGAATTAGAATGTTGTCCTAATTACATCCTTTACTTTCATACCGAACATTTGTTGCAATATAAAATATCACAAAAATGACACTACTATACTTACATTCTGACCACCTTTGCCAATGATTCGACCAATGCTCTGTTTGGGCACCATAATCTCTGTTCTAAGGTGAACTTCATCATGGGCAGCAAGTCGAAGTTCATTCTTCACCTTCTCAAAAATATAGAACTGAGCCTGAGGACAGAAAACAAAAAATTAAAGAATACAATTGTACTGAGCAAATAATTACTATTAAATCATATTAGGCAAACATTTTGTAAACAGACATAAAGAAGACCATGAGGTACATTGAATCTACTGCATTAGATTCACATCTTAGACCAATTAATCAGTCATTATAATGTGGTGGCTATATTCGAGTTTCCAGTTTCGTAGCATCCATTTTTGGCTGGATTCATCTGGGAGCCCTGATCTATAGAGGACTAGAACATAAATCATTCACAACGGTATGGTTGACTAAACATCTTTTGAGCTCTGTATTATAAATCTTGACAATCAACATTATACTGTTCAAAAATAAAAATTAAGAATAAAAAACCAGTTATCCGACACCGCAATTTTATTACTTTGTAAATAAAATATTGTACTTGGGAATGTGAAAAGCAGTCTCAAATGTTGTCTACTTTGTCCAGTGGACATGTGGGCGTGAATTGCATGGGTTTTTGTAATCCTTACACTGCAGTGGTCAGTTGTGTTTGAGACCATATTTGTGAGCATAGCTTATGATGCTCACAGGAGAAAGCGCCACAATTTGGGGTGAACACTATTCACTGCCTATGCAACCGAAACCCTATAAAAGAATAATGCTACACCAAAACATTCAATTCAGTCATGAAGGTTGCCTCTATCAATACATATAAGGATTCTTGCTATTGGCTGATTGCAGGCAGAAGAAAGTCAAAGTTAGATTGCCAGGCATCTAAACGTGCAGAGTACCAGTGGTCGACTTTGGCAACGTTTCAAGCCACTGGTTCAGTTAAAGACCAACATTGCAGTGGACCATCACAGAAGCAGAGATTTGTTTTATTTGATTTCATTTACTTCCTCAACTGCGCAGGCTCTGCCTCCAGGATGTCATGTGTCTGATCAAACTGTTCAGAAGAGAATGCATGATGTTGGACTTTGGGCACGACTTCACCAAGGACCTGTTCTTATGTGTTGCTACCGACAAAATCGACCTCTGGGCAACCAACATTGTCCCTGGGCAGATAAAAATCAATGAAGACGTGTCTGGTTCAGTGACGATTCTTTCTTTTCAATACAGCGTCATAATAGACGGTGCAGGGTCTGCCGCAGGTGAAATGAAGGTTTAGCCCAAAATTGCACGGATGAAGCTCTACTGCACGGTGGTGGAGGTGTAATGGTGTGGAGAATGATCAGTTACAACTGAAGGAGTCAATTGGTGCACACTGAAAGAAGCTTGAATGCGAACGATATGTCAATAACATTCTTCAACCACATGTCCTTCAATTTTCAGATGCCAACAGATATTTTTCAATCGGAAAACACCAGACCCCATTCTGCACGGTTGACCACGCAGTTCCTGGCTGCCAATAACATTCAAACCCTTCTCTGCAAACATTAGTCCGATTGAGCACCTGGGGGATGAGCTGCAAAGACATATTTGTCGCTGACACGTTAAGCCAATTTGTTCCAGGCACTCCAGAAAGAGTGGGCATCCATCTCACAGGCCCACATCAGACATGAGATTTCATCCATGCCCAAGAGGAGGCCATGCACCATATTAATGGGAAACGCCGTACGCCTAAAATTACCGTGACCCAGATGCAAGAAAAATGTGTTAATTGACTGGTGGAACGCCAAGGTATTCTTGAGTGAAATTTAAATAATTTCACTTACCACGTTAAAAAGACGCAGAATGTCAAAATTGTGAGTATGTATGTTCCTCTTAGCAGCTAGGTGTTTCCTTTTGTTTTTTAAACAGTATATTATTATGAGAAAATTGTCATACACGAACCCTACTTTTCTGTTTTGAGTATTCATCATCATCATGTGTTGCAGAACGTTGCTCTCATCACAGTCTGTATGAAAGAAACTTGGTCTCTCGCCAGCTCTCCAGCCTTATGCACTTTCCTACACAAGGCGTCCCTTAAATCCTCTGCCCATCTCCATGCTGGTCAATCCCTGCCCCTCTTTTCTGGTACCATGCCAGCAGCTACCATTTTCATGGTGCTTGACGTGGCCAAATTATTTTAGTACTGTTAACAAAAAATAGTACTTTAAATTATGAAAGTGAAAAAAAAAATATTTAAAAAAACATTTAAAAAATGACAAACCCTTAAAAAAAAAATGAAATACCTTCCACTGAGCTTCAGGTGAGCCAGAAATCACAGCTTTGCGTTCATCACCAGAATGACTGAATGGATTATTCTCTCCAGAGCCATTTTTATCATTAGCTCCCAAGATCTGTCAACAAGGAGAAAGGATTGCTGTGTACTTCAGTAAGTCAACATCTTCATCATATCAGAAGTATATTTAATAAATATCACCAGAATGGTGCTGGAAATTCACTGTAATTAACTTTTAAAATGAAGGTCAGTGATATTTTTCCTTAAATGTTTCAGTCTGAGGGGATCATAGTTGATGCCTGCCGTGCAGAAACAATAATGACAACAAAAGCATGGGTATACTGCATCCACAGGGTGTAATTACACAGCACACTGTGGGGGCCTTGTGCTGTTGGATTGATTTCGTTTGCCTGACCAAGCTTAAGATGTACAAACATACAAAACATGCTGACTAGCACACATAAATAATATCCAGCACACATGGAACGTTGTTCGGGACTCAAAAAAATTAGGAAGGTAAGTGATATTTTTCCTTATATATTATCTATATGAATAAATCACTGACTTCAACTAAACCTGCAAAATTAAGCTAACTATACATCCTCTCCTACAGTTCAACAATGGTACTCTAAAGGCTTGAATATTACTCTTAACACACATACCTTGATGCGAGCTCCAGACATGCGCATGATGTTTTTAATATTTTGACCTTTGCTTCCAATGACCGCCCCAACAGACTTCTCTGGAATATACAACTGAACCACTTCCGGCTGCTGCTGGACAACAGGTGGTCCGTTGAAAGCTCCAGGATAGTAAGCAGTTCCCTGATGTGGTCAGTGCAGACAACAAAAACAGTCAGGAATATGCAACTAAATGTCACTTATACTGGTATCTCCATAACTGGCTGCTCATTTAAATGTTATCAGGTTACAATGTTTACTTTTGCCTATGACAGAAAACACTTTCAACAGCTTACTAAGAATTAGAACATAGGTCATTCGCACATAAACCATGTGTTCTAACCACTCAGTCACCAGCTTCTCAATGGATGAATACACGTACAAAGACACACATTTCCTATATTCAATTTAACAGATAGATCTTAAGTGTGAATAAACACTTCTTTAATTTTTTAACAGACTCAGTAAAACCTATGGTTTACTGTGCTTAACAAGTAACCCTTACCTATCTTGGTGCCAGGGACTCATTATAAGGGGTGGTGGAGTGGGGGAATAGAATCACTGCCTGCTAACAAAAAGAGTTGCGTGTCCTTTACTGGATGTTGCATAACTAGCCCCAGCAGTTTTCAGCTGTTGTGGTTTTCTAAGCAAATTTTACGTTCACAGTTTGCCACTGCCTCTGAATGGTTGGCTCTCAGTACCAGTGTCAAAACCAAAGCAAGACGGTCTGCTACCAAATCGCCTGCAGCTGAGATTAAACCTGGCACTTGTAGCAAAAGTCGACTAATTAGGGGTGTTTCCTCTACAGTCGAACAGCACCTGCCAGAGAGGCCAGGAACCAACAGTCTGCATAGAAAATAGCCTGATCAATAAAACAGATTAATACAAAAAACTCAAGCTCTGAAATAAGACTCAAGTTTAAAAGTGTATGAACAACCATAACTTTCTGACAGAGTTTAAAGCCGGTGAACATGAAAAAGAAGTATCCCTAAATTACTATGGAAAGCCATGACAGGGAAGGACATACCATATAAGACACAGGAGGCCTCATGCCTTGATAGGGGCCTAATCCTGACATCAATGGAAGACTTGGCATCCCTGAGAACATCATTTGCTGCTGAGCTCCAAACTGTAAAACAGACATGATGACAGGTACAAAATATTCCATCAACTAATACCTTATACTTGAGTGCGGTTACATAAAAGAGATAAGATATTTACGCTAAGAAATTATGTATCCGTCACAGAAAGAAAGTTACAAAAAGCTGTTTCTGTTACTGTGTTACTGAGTGAACCACTGAAGGTTTGAGGTTTGAAAAACAGATCAACATCATGGCACACAGGTAGTAACCCATAACTTCTCCGTCCTTCTTCTAACTCAAGTCTGAGTCAGAAGAAGCTCAGCACAGTGCACAGGCTCTGTAGCCCCGGCGAGGATCCTGAAATACTTTGGGTAGATTTTTAACTCCAAATTGTGCCCAGGCAGCAGCACCGTTAGGCTACTATTTTCGATTTCCAACTGCCAAGGGATCTTTTACGTGCGCAACAATGCACACAGGCGTCTGATCTCACTACCCAGAGACCAGGGAGAATCACTAGAAGACTGAGTTCAAGTGAAAAAATCCTAGCTCTTACAGGGAATTGAACCTGGAACTTCTAGCACTCGAGGCGGACAGCATGCCTTGAGACTACGCAGTCCCCCTGAACCATTGCACAAATGTGTTGAATGAAAGATGCAAATATTTCAGCTCTGCTATAAAGAGGCACAACACAACTGTCTTAAAAAAGAAAAACAATTTACGAGTAAGGAAGTACCTGTGTTGTTCTGTACCAGTCTGACTATGGGAGGTAAGCACCAGCCTAATAGAAGTAGGACAGTATACAGTATTTTTTGTGTATGAGATGCCCCATCTAAAAGATGCCTTTTTTTTTGTTTTAAGCCAAAAATTAGGAATACAATATTTTAAACACATTCTGAATATAAGACAATGCACAATTTTTAAGGAACATATCACCTTCTACACACAAAAATACGGGTAATTTTCTAGGAAGAGAATGTGCTGCGGATGAAAGTTAGTTTGATCAATTACTTTGCCAACAGTACAAAATGATCACACTTCACATCTGGTGATTAAATAAATGTATCAACTCATATAGTAATATTTTTCATGCTGCAGTTAACAATTGTCAACAATCTCCTGTTATATCCCGACTAATTAGCTGTTAGGTTAAAAGATGTAGATAACTCGCCTAGCTTTAAAGGTCAACACAGTTACGCAGAAGGAAAAAAACAAAAAAACAATACAGACACTACACTGCACACCAGCAGTGCTTTTAAAAATGAAACTTTATTTACCTGAAATGAACCAGCATCTTGTTCAAAGCACTGCTGCATCTTCTCGCTGATCTTTTCCTCAGCTTCTGAGCAGTTCTCAGTTGCCCCAGTGATAGTGATGACTCGATCTATGTAACCATTGGCTGAATCTATAAGCCCACCAGAAAAGGGATCAAAACTGGAACCAGCAAAACGAGAAAGACTTGAAATAGTGTTAACATTTTGGTTCAGAGACAATGAACAATTTAGTGACATAAGCATTTTTCAAAATCTTTAAACTGAGACGCTACAAAAACATTATCAGAATACTTTCAACGAAGAAGAAGAAAAACATCACCCTACAAGGTCTGAGTACTGAGGAGAATTGACTTATAAATACCATCCTGTTGCGAAAGCTGGGGCATTTTGGCCATGTTAAACATCACAGTGTGCTGGAGAGAACAGTGATGGAGGATGCAGTTTCCAGAAATGAGACAGAAACTGATTTCCGTGAAGGTGGACACAAGACACCGATGAAGCACTGGCTATGAAGCACACAGACCTGGACAACTGGCGAAAGAAAGAGACTTCTGGGCATACAGTGAAGACAGCCATGTTCTGTAATGGACAATGGCATTATCATCTGACCTAGGCTCTCAGGTTGATCCAGCCTAAAACTTGCACTAGGTAACGTCTTGGGAAGTAAAGGGGGCCACATCAACCATGCTGTAAAGATATGAGTTTAACATCCTATGCCTGATAAAACACTGACTGGAAAAGGGTCCTTTACCTACAGTATCATCTGATTATAAATAAAATAAGTTTAGATCTGCAGCAGCAAAGTCATTCTCTAACATACAACATACATATGTAAGCAGTGGTACACACCTGGACACGACTATATTAGTTTTCGTTTTTTCCATGAAAACTTTGATCACACTGCCTTGTTTGCCAATTATGCGACCACAAATGCTATTTGGGCACAAAATTCGGAATGGTACATCTCTAGAGAAAGAAAAAACATATTATAATTAGAAGAAAGGAGAAGCCAACTCTACTTCTTTAAAAAAAAAATGAACTAAATTTATTTATGCCTTTCACATATGCAACATCAGTGACTAGAACAAACACCTGAGAATCTGTTGGTTTGGGTTCAAATTTCTGTTACAGCAGGGATTTTAACGTGATCATATGGCTTAGGGGTTAATCCATATGTTGAGCAGTAGAACATTTTCTGGGAAGCTAATGTAGTTATTAGGTGATAGTGACTGCTTCATAAAGTAAGTGTTTGCTGGTCTAAGAAAATGAGTAACCATAGAAATGAGATTCCTGAGAAAGAATGCAGGAGTGATCAGAAAAGGTAAAAATCATGAACGAGAGAAAATGTCGGCACATTACCAATACTAAATTACATACAAAGACAGAAAATAAAATGCCTTGCCCACTTAGAGAGAACGCCTTATGCCATACCACACAAGGCATACTCCAAAAGGGCAGAGAAATGTAGAGGAATAGGTAGTCCAAGAACAAGATGAAAAGAAGATATCACAGAAAATAGAACAGTATGATGTGTCTATGGTCCAGGTGCCAAGAAGAGCAACAAGCAGAACTTTATATCTCCCTCAACAATATGATATGTTTATGGTCCAGGTGCCCAGAAGAGCAACAAGCAGAACCTCAAATCTCCCTCAACATTCAAAGTGTCAAAAAGAAAGTGCAGATGAAGATGACTGGTCTACAAATATTTACCTGACAGCATAGACACAATATGACCAATGCCACAGAAAGTGAGCCTTTAGCTTGAGCGGACATAGCAAATTTGAAAAATTCATTTCTTTTAGTGACTTGGGGGCTGCAAAGACACAATAGCTAGTAGGTTTGCCTGTCTACTCGGTGCTCATAGGTTTCAACCCCCTTCCGCGATTTTTGTATAAATTGGCCAAGACCCCAAAACTCTTCTGCTTCTTCTTTACTTTCTCTAGCTTCTTAGGACAGAGTTTCATAAAACTATAACATGTCCTCTTTTTAAGAGAATTTTGAAGATCATTAAAATTTTTTTTTAAAGGGCAGATAAAATACATTTAGCAAGGCATTGTTGTGTATTAGAGCTGTCATTCCTTAACTCCACATATTACAAATACTCCATACAACTAGTTGGTGGTAGCCATATCCCCCTACTAAATCCAAATATGATAGTAAAGGCTGCTTAAATAGGAGACACATTTATTTACATGCCCAGCAACAGTATACCTGCAATCATGGCAACTTTTTGAGGAAATGAACAATTTTTAAAATGTGCACACAAACAAAATTCAGAAGGAATTTTACAAAAACCACACCCAAAAAAATATAAAAAGACCCCATACATACACACACAAAAAAGGTTGCTAATGGCAACAAAACAGCAGAGAAAAGATAACAATAAAGACACAGACAGAAATAATACTGTGCTACTTCTTCTTCATAAGCATTTGCCCCAAAGTGGGTGGTTGACACCCTGCTTGTGGTTTAGGCTGAGATATTTGTGCCTTTTGGACAAACACACCAGATTTCAGCAAAACTCTATTTAGCCACCTCACATGCATCCCTGTGTGGGTTCCGGGGCCCCATTGTGGGGGAAAACAAGAATAGACCCACTACTTCCCCAACAGCCATGTCATAAAAGTTCACTAACTGGAAGATTCAGAACTTTCCTCCAGAGTTATACAGCCAGTGAACACAAAAAAGAAGACCTCCCATGCTTCGAGGGAGTGGGGAAGGCAGTGGGTTTATTCCTTTCCCCCCTTAAAAACAGAACCCCAGAATGCGCATAGGGACAGTGTGCCATGACATACTTTGCTAATTAACCCACATAACTCAACACGCCCTGCTAATTCTACTGTAACTACAGAATACTATTATAACTATACTGAGGGACATTACCCTCTGTTCAACGAGTCAGCTTCCTGGCGGACGACTGTCATAATCTCCTTGCAAGCCTTAGTACAGCTTTCAGGAGATCCTTTAATTGTCACAAGCTGGAACAAAAGTTGAGTGTCAGAAAAGTTGTTGCTGATAATGCATTTTTCAACATGTGTTTCTAAACTTGGAGGTTAAAAAGTAATTCTTGTTTGCATTACAGAGCCAGTTTTAACATTTAGATGCAATCCTAGACAATAAGCTAAATAACTTATCGAAACCTCAGAGATATGGTTTTACAGAAGACTGCTAAAAGTAACTTTGACAGCTAAAATTAGTAACCCAGATGTTTTAAAAGAAGTGAGCGACAGAAGACAATTTATCACAGACACAAGCAACAGTTCATCCCTTTTCGGCCATGATGTGAGATTCTTCCATCTTTTCAAGAGTGCTAACACTTGAGCTGATGAATGATGTATGCGGTTGCAATCACTCATGCCATTCGGCAACACACTTGATGAAAAGAAGACTTAAATTTTAACTGTTAAGTCCAATGCACTGGTGTTATTTAAAAAAAAAAAAAAAACATTCCACCTGCTGAAATTGTAGGTGTAGAGGAGGCCCATTCAACTGGTGGCCAGCAGAGGCCTAGCAAATGGCCTGTGGATCAATGCAAACTGTATTGTTTGCATTCATGATCTTTTTTTGCTGGAGCTCAGGCATCTGGCCCATGAAGTTTCATATTTTCCAAATTGTAGACCCTCAGTAAACATAGCTGTATGGCCCTGGTGTAGACGTTCGCCCCTATACAGAAATTGAAAGTATGGCATCCAAATACTGAAGGCCAGGGAATAACTAGAAAATACTTACCGTATCAGGTACATGACTCTCCCTTCTATGAATATCCACCCTAGATGAAAATGAAAAACAGAAATATACACAAATAAAACATACTGAGACACACTAAACTAATAAAAAAACAAAAAAAAAACAATGCTAATTCAATTTCTCAAAAAGTGCTTTTAAATTATATAAGAAATAAAAGTTTCACCACAGAAAGAGAATGGAGAATCTAGAGATTCGAAAACCAGTGCTTAATAAAAGTTGTGGACATACGAAAAATGAAAAACTGCTAGAGAGAAATTAAACATGAAACAGGACATCAAGAACTGCTTATTGCCAGGGTGACACATCAGAAGCTTGCCCAGTTGGGCATTTCAAACATGAATCTTTTCCAAGTTTTTTTTTAGGGTACAGTTGAGAGCAAACAGGGAAGAAGGAAGCAGGACAATTTATGAAGTGATAACAATAATGAACTGAGGGGATACAGTCTTCCACACTTGTGAGTGTTACTGAGAACAAAAAGCAGCAGATACCTCTTCTTGCATGAAACCACAATGACACTCATCCAAGGGTTATGTGATGGAAGACTTACGTGTACTAGTGGTCAGCTTGCTTTAACACTGGAAGCAGCTAACAATTAGTAAAGTGGGATTAGCGTAGAGACTTTCTTCCTGGTTGAGTACAAAATCTTTATGTCCACTTGGGCAGACAATTGAAAAATCTGACTTAATGCAGATCTGAACCTAAGACCTTTGGGTAGACAGGCATATTATGATGTGAACAAGTAATGCTTGCCTATACTGGCCAACTTGGATTAGTACCTGGTCTGTTTTATATTTCCATAACAGGATTTAGCCATTTCACTAATAAGTGACTGCAAGACAACTCCCAGAAAGATACTGTGGAAATATGTTTGAAAGTAAACATCTTTTTAAAATATTTCAACAAAGTCAGGAGGATCAACTTGCTTAACCCATTAGACTCCGTCTGTCTCTGGAGAACGGCTAGACACCTGCAGAGAGTGTCACACACAGCCGGAGCTCCACAGCCCCAATGAAGATCCCCCCTCCCCCCACTAAGGGATCTCCGCAAAAACCGAACTCGCTGAATGTTACATCCGTGAAATGAACCCCACGACCTTTAGGTGAATGGCTTGACCACATCACCAGAGACATTTCTATGCTAAGCTGAGGTTATAACACACTGTTAAATCCTTTTACTTTACTTTGTAAATCTTAAATATGCCAACAGAAAACTTACCTGGCACGACTTTCTGATGTAATCTTCCTGATGGTCTGTCCCTGCTTTCCAATCACAGCACCAATATAGTCACTGGCCACAACAATCCTACACAAAAGAAAATAACTACAGAAATAGCATACCGGTGAATTGATTCTTTCATGTTTGTTAGTTTCTCTATAAACAGTGCAAGCTTTTTTTTTTTTTGAAATAAATTTCTTGTCCCCTACTTGTTTTTTTTAAAACCCATTCTATCTCTCTTGTTAACGCATTATGTTCCATACCTGCTTATCTCCACCCTTTCAGACCAAAAATGTTACTTTAAAGCAGTGTTTTGCCACTGGTGGAGTGTGGAAAATCTCCCCAGTTTTGGTGTCCTGGGGTCACACAAAGGTTGAAGAACACTGCTCTGAAGTATCAACCCAACTTTCTGACAGAAAACAGTTAAAAGCAACAGCTATCATAAGTCCGATTATAACCATATCTAACTCTGTTACATGGTTAAACAGGCTTTTCCAGATTTGCTCCTGCTGGATTCTCATCCAAACAGTGGATCTTTCAGTTAATGGTCTTAATCTCAGAAAGCAAACCTGATGGGGAAAGGGGGGGGGGGGGGGGGGTGGGGGAAGATAGCGATACTAATACCTTTCATTTTCAAAATTGGTATAATCAGTTTGGTTTTATATACAAACAACTATAGAAGTATTTTAAAGCGGCTTCAATAATAGTATCATAAATTCTTAGGAACTATTACTTTAAGAATAGTATGGTTTCATTTTAATTGGACTTGATTTTCTTTATTAGTAACAAACAAAGCAGTAAGGAAGTCTGTTTTACGTTATCAAGCTACAAAGTGGATATGCTGATGGCTACTGGTAGTCTTATGGCAGCTAATGCTGTTAGCGTGTCAAGAGTAAGACAATTACACACTCTAAGAGATGCG